TTTCTTTCGGTTCACTTAAAAATACCTCCTCCCCAGGGGCGGCTGGGTGGCTCAGCCCATTGAGTCTCCAGCTCTTGATTTCGGCTCAGGTCATGATCTCACATGATCATGATCACACATGATCTACCCCCTCAAAATAAATAAACATTAAAAAAAAAAACTGCCCAAAGTTTTAAATTGTGCTTAGTCACATTATAGGTTTTACCAATTTGAGAGTCTTAAGAAATCCCTTTGTAAAATTCTTGTCTTTTGTGTGTTAAGGTGGAGTAGGTTTTTCACAGATAATTGTAAATTGGTTCATTAACATTTGTGTCTTCCTAATGCTTTGCCATTGTCATTTAGGGGCTAGAAGGTAATTTTGTAATGTGAGGTACTGGGACGCACATTTGAATTACCTAGGGAGCTTTTAACACGTTACCGGTGCTTCCAGGGCCCACCCTTAGAGACTGTGATTTGATTGGTCTGGAGTGAGACCCAGGCTTGGGTATTTTTAAAAAGACTCCTAAATAACTCTATTGTACAGCTAGTTGAAAACCACAACTCTAGAGTTGAGATTCTCAAGTTGTGGTTTCTGGTCCAGCAGCTTTGGCATTACCTGGAAACTTGCTTGAAATGCAAATTCCCAGACCCTTTCTTAAACCTACTGATCAGAAACTCTGAGGGCAGGGCCAGTAAGCAAGTCTTAACAGATTCCCTGAGTGATGCTAATGAATGCTAACATTTGAGAAAACACTGGTCTAGCCCATGGTAAGCTATATGGCCTGTTTTTGTAAATAGTTTCAAGGGAACACAGCCACACTCATTCATTTATATATAGTAAAATGACAGAGTTTAGTATTTGTGATAGACTCTACTACCCATAAAGCCTGAATCATTTACGATCTGGTCTTTTATTTATTTTTAAAATTTCTTTTAACGTTTATTTATTTTTAAGAGAGAGAGAGAGAGAAAGAGAGAGAGAGGGAGAGAGAGAGAGAGAGCGCGCGAGCGCCAGTGCAGGTTGGGGAGTTCCAGAAGAGGGAGACAGAGGATTTGAAGCAGGCTTTGAGCACAGAGCCCAACATGGGGCTTCAAACTAAGGAATCATGAGATCAGACCTGAGGGGAAATCCAGAGTGCGCTACTTAACCGACTGAGCCACCCAAGCCACACAATTCAGCCTTTTAAATAAAAAATTTGATTCCTGAACGGTGCTTTTCAAATTTTTTTTTACTGAGAATTTTTTTATTGAAGTATAGTTGACACACGATGTTTTGTTAGTTTCAGGTGTACAGCACAGTGTTTTGACAGTTCTAAACATTATGCTTTGCTTACCATAAATGTAGCTACCTTCTGTCACCATTTAAAGCTATTATAGTACCACTAACTATATTCTCTATGCTGTACTCTTCATCCTCATGACTTTCTCATTCCGTAGCTAGAAGCCTGTATCTTCCACTCACCTTCATCCATTTTTCCCATCTCACTCTCCTCTGGCAGTCGTCAGTTCTCTGTATTTATGGGTTTGTTTCTGCTTTGTTTGTGCATTTAGATTTTTAGATTCCATATATAAGTGAAATGGTATTTGTCAGACTTATTTCACGTAGCATAATACTCTCTAGGTCAATCCACGTTGTTGCAAATGGCAAGATCTATTTTTTTCTTTTTAATGGCTGAGTAATAGGTGTGTGTGTGTATCCATTCATCTCTCAGTGGACACTTGAGTTGCTTCCATGTCTTGGCTATTGTAAATACTGCTACAATAAATATGGGTAGGGTTGCATATTTTTTTTGGAATTAAGTGTTTTTGTTTTCTTTGGGTAAATAGTAGAATTGGTATTATATGGTACTTCTGGATCATATGGTATTCCTATGTTTAAGTTTTTAGGAACCTCCATGTTGTTTTTCACAGTAGCTGCACCAATTTACATTCCCACCGGCAATGCATGAGTGTTCCTTTTTCTCCCATTTTCTCCTTTTTTCTCCGTTCTCACCAACACATGTTATTTCTTTTTGATTCTATTCATTCTGACAGGTGTAAGGTGATATCTCATTGTGGTTTTGACTTGAATTTCTCCGATGATGAGTGATGTTGAGATGCTCAAGTGTCTATTGACCATCTGTATGTCTTCTTTGGGAAAATGTCTATTCCAGTCCTCTGTACTTTTCAAACTTCAGTGTAGAGATGAATCACTTGGGGATATAGTTTAACTGCAGATTCTAACTCAGTGGACCTGTGATGGGGCCTGAGAGTCTGCTTTCTTTTTTTTTTTTTTTAATTTTTTTTAATGTTTTTTATTTATTTCTAGGAGAGAGAGAGAGAGAGACAGCATGAGCAGGGGAGGGTCAGAGAGAGAGGGAGTCACAGACTCTGAAAGAGGCTCCAGGCTCTGAGCTGGCAGTCAGCACCGAGCCCGACGCGGGGCTCGAACCCACGAACCGCGAGATCATGACCTGAGTGAAAGCCGGACGCTTAACCGACTAAGCCACCTGGGCGCCCCGAGAGTCTGCTTTCTAATAGCTTCCAGGTGATATTTAAGTTGTTGGTCTGTGAAAGACACTTTGAGCAACAAGGGTCCATAACAATGCTGTCTAATAGAAACGCAGTGTGATAAAACATCTCAGTTGGGACTCTCAGAATAATAGTTGGGGAGATTTTTGTGGGGAAGTTTCTAGAAGCCCTGAAATCTTTGGTGTGGGTGTGTTAAACTCACATTAAACCTGGAAAGACCCTTATAAAGGGTGGCCATATAATGTACATTCCTAAACTGGGACACCTTTGAGAGTGAAAAAGGATGTTATTAATAAAGTAGCCAGGAGAACAGGTGTAAATTGGGACTGTCCTGGACAAATTGGATGTATGATTACTTACAACGGATTTTTTTATTTTTTTAATGTTTTATTTCTGAGAGAGAGAGACCGCATGAGCAGGGAAAGGTCAGAGAGAGAGGGAGATACAGAATCTGAAACAGGCTCCAGTCTCTGAGCTGGCTGTTAGCACAGAGTCCGATGTGGGGCTCAAACCCATGAACCATGAGATCATGACCTGAGCCGAAGTCGGACGCTTAACCGACTGAGCCACCTAGGCGCCCCATATTTACAATGGATTTAATTCATAGTTCTTGAAGGGACCGGCTGTATACTTTGAGGAACTTTTTCCAAGATAAACATGCAGTTGGGAACAGGAGGAGAGCACAGTAGAGAGGGCAGCTGTTTATCAGAATTAGGTGATTAGAAGGCATGTAGTTTACAACATTGGCTCAAAGTGACTATCTTGTTCCCTCCGCCCCCATCCTGAAACCTACACTGAAGATCACGAAGGTATTAGGGTCACAAGGCGACACAGTGAGGACCAGAAGCCAGAGCCTACCTAACACTGCACCCAGCACAGAGAAGGTGTTGATTGTTCCTGAGGCAGAGCAGCCTGAAGCTTGAGCGTGCGCATGCGTGTGCACAGACTCCAGGGAGGGAGGGGGGACTCTCACCGTGGTCTGCAGTTCCCTCCACAGGCTGTGACCGAATCTTCCTGCCACTCACCTGGGTAAGTTCCTGAAGCGAGGCACACATTCCTATCCCCGCAGGACTGGGGACCATTTGTTAGAAATGGCTTTGCTTGGGGAGACTCTCATCTTCCGCTTGTACTGGTAGCCCATGACTGAGGTGCTGGGGAGAAGGGCTGAGCCGGAAAGAGGCAAAGGACTGCAGAACAGAGCTTCCAGCCACCACGTGCGCACCCACGAGGTGCAGGGCAGCCAGCGATACAGGAGCCGTGTTTTCTAGGTTTAGTCTGTCAGTAAATAATAGGGCACAGACGTTGCTGAATATTTTGTGATTAACTTGCCCCAGGGACCCCTAAATGTTTTATAATTTCTGAGTAAAGAATGAAAGCATCTAAGGCTGTGGATTCTTAGCAGCAAGTTCAGCATCATTTTAATGCCTAATATAGGAGACATTCCTTCTCACAATCACACTTAGAAGAGGGCAGTAGCCAAAGAGGTTTAAGCTTCCATTTAATGTGAACAGCGTGAACACAGGAAAATAACATCATATCAGAGGGGTGGAGACTAATTTCAGGACCACTGTAATGATTCTGTGCCTTGAATTGAACAAAATTTTAAAAACTGAGATGGAAGTCTTTTGCTTAAGGTTTTTTTAGGGATTGACCTATGGAGCAGAAGTGTTTTCTTTGTGAGTGAGAGGTACAGTTGTTTGTTTATAAGGTTTGGTCTATTATAAGGAGGCCCTCTGAATCTTCCTGGCCCTCGGGTCTTAACCCATATCTACATCATCTTTAACAGAAGAGGGCACCCTGCTTCAGCAATCTGAGGGATCACCCCCTGAGCAGGGACCAGATGATCTGGGTTGTATGTGTCTCCTCTTAATTTACCTCTCCACATGCTTTTCGAGTGAACTCAAAAAGTGGAATCCTGCTCAGCAGGTCAGGGAGGGTGTGGGGGTGTGGGTAGGTGGCAAGATGTCATTGAAGAGTAGGGAGGAATGGCCATACCCTGTAGGGTGAGGTGGAGCACATGGATTTGGGAGGATGAACTTGGGTTCAATTTCTGGCATTGCTTCTTACCAGCTCTGTGTTCTTGAGGGGGTTATTTTTCCTCTCTGCAGTTTATACGTTAATAAAATGGTGATATATACTTGTGTCCTTGGCACAATGCCTGGCCCATAGGAAGTGCTCAATAGCTTTGAAATCCGGCAAACAAGCAAATGTCTTCAAGTTCAAGCTAGGGGAAGAAAGAGGCAGAAAACGAGTAGGGAGCTGCTTTCCTACCATGCTGGAGAAACTCATTTTGGGAAATAGTACAGACTTAGGTTTTATGTATATGCTCATTGACTTTTTTTTTTAAACAATCCCTTATGAGATGTGAATAGGTTTTGTTATAATTTCATTTTAGTTTTCCATTTATTTGGGAGGTGCTGGTATTCTTTCACATCTAAATGATTTAACAGTGTGAAATTCTAAAATAGGAGTTTGAAATCATTCTCTGAAATAATCCTGTGATTTTTCAGAGAGAAGCTTGATATGCTCAAGGATTAAACCAATTTAAAGAAGAAGAGTGATATAAATTGTTCAGAGGTGCTTTCCAAATATCGTTCCAGATTTGGGGTCTGAAGATACAAAGGAAATGGCTTTTTACCACGCTTCACTTTGAATAGTAAGAACCTCCTTTGACACAGTTGATAAAATTTCAGAGTGAAAGGAATCTTTAAGGTTTTTACATTTAAGGAAAAATATCTTACTTGTTTCTACCCCCTCAACTAAATAAAAATCTCTTAGCATCAGGCTAGGTTAGCAGTGTTTTTCAAGTTTCTCAGGTGATTCTAATATGCAGCCATCAGTGTGAACCCTTGTTCTACACCAGCTTATTTTACTGATGGGGAAAGTACTTTATGCTGGTCGGGAAAGTACTTGTCTGCCTTCCATGCAGCCTCTAGAGGAGAGAGGCTTAAAATAGAAATCCCACAGTTTAAAAACCTTCTGTGACCTCCCCCTCCCCTCCCCCTCCCCCCTCCCCCCCCCCCCCCCCCCTCCCCCCATCTCTTTTCAGTTTTTGGGACAGAGCTCAGAGTTTTCAGCTTAGCTCACAACTCCTTTCAGTATTTGCCTCTTGCTAAGCACCTCACCTCAATTTTACTCTTCCTTTTACTTCTCCTACACTCTTCTGTATAGTCACGCCGACTGCTTGCGTCTCCACCATGTGGAATGATACTACCCAGTGTCATACTTTACAATATTTTACTTCCTCCTGCTGGACTGCCTTTATCTCTTTGTTTTCAAAATGTAGCTCAAGCTGAGATATTCAAATAGGGAAGGGACAAGGGAATATTAGCTGTGGCTGCCTGGGTCAAAACACTGTAGTTTTTATTGTTTTTTTTTTTTTAAGACTGGGAAATACTCTTTGAGATTTTAGCATTTCTAGCCCAAATTCTTCAGGGCTAGGTTGTTATCATAAATGTGTAAAGGAGGGTCAGATATTAGATTTAAAAAAAAAAAAAAGTGATGGGGCTCTGGCCACCTGGACAGCATCTGCTCCATTTAAAGATAATTAAATTAAACTTTTTGAGAAATAGGGCAGTCATCCCAAGAGCTGCCAAACAACTTTTTATAGATGAGGAATCTGAGAACCAGAGAGAACGCTGAGAACATGGTAGTGTATGGTAGGGTGAGAGCCCAGGTCTTCTGAATACAGGGGCAGTCTTCACAGCACACCTTACAGCTGTGGCACGTTTCCCTTTTAAGTTCTAGTATATTTATTCCAGATAGTAGTAATCCTCATGAACATTTATTCAGCGTTATACAGTTAGAAAAAGCACTAATTTCATTTTATAAACTACAGCTAAGGAAGGTGCTGTAGAATGATGTGTCTTGCTTCCTGGGTCAGAGGCAGAACACAGGGCTGCCTGGAGTATCCTATTGTGGAATGCAGTCGGCTCCCAGCGAGACCACGTAGGGGGCCAGTGAATCTCTGCCATGCTTCCCTTCCAGCTCACACCCGCTGTACAGTGAAATCTTAGCTGTGGTGTCTGATTGATTGATTTCCCTCCCTAGACTGTGTGGGTGGATTTTACCCTTTAAGAATTTCTGAAAATAAAAGCATTTCCCCCAGCCTTCTTTTTTAGAAGTGAGTTTATTCACTCAGATGAAAGGACACAGTAAAATGTGAAAATTGCCCTCCTACATGCATACAAAGTTGAAGCTGGACATTTCCTTTGGTCTGGTGGACAGCTATTATACTGCCTGGGTTCTGAAAGCTCCTTTGCTAGGAGAAAGGTAAGGCGTTGTTCTGACACATTTGTTTTGACACTCTGGGCCCATTTGCCTGCTTCAGGGGTCATGGTCCAACCCAGGGTATGGAGAGCACCTGTTTGGCTCTTCTAAACAGAGCTCTCCCAACTCCCAGATTCTATACGTCTCAAGAGACAACCAGAGAAAAGCGCTTAGCTTTGCCAGGAGACTCACTATTGGGGATAGGAGAAAGTCTTACACACATGATACCATCAATGGGAATGGAAGAGAGCAGAAAAAATAACCTGTGAAGGGAGGCATATGGGATAAAATCATGCTTCTCCATTGGTCAGGAGATGCTACAGGTTTAGAGAGGAGGGTCTGGGAATTTGGGATGTCCAGTGGTTGGCAAGAGGACTCTACTTGCCCCCTACATGAAAGCATCTCTCACCGTAGATAGGAGATTTCCTTCTTAGCTGTGGACACTTGCTATTTCTCTGTCTTGTTCTTATGTTGTGGTGACTCAGAGTGGTTTATAAGATGTAGGCAACTTTCTGGCCCAATGTTGCTGAAGGTTCAAGTGTGTCTTCGTTCATGCTGTGGTCAAAGAAAGGGTAATTCTTCTTGCAAAGCAGGAAGGTTTGTGTTTAAGGCAGACTTTACTCAGTTAATACACTTTATTTCACTTCAAAGCCTTTGTTGAATAGAAATATTTAGAATAAAACAAAAATGTTAAGTTGAAATTAAAGATAAAACAATAGGAACTGAAAGAACATTAAATTATTTTCACTTTATAAAAGAAAAGGGACAAGCCATAGGTTTATTTTAAATAGCAAGATCTCCAGTAATTTAACAAGTGTTTCCCTTTATATACAACTTTTAAGAAACAAAATGTTTATTCATATTTTTATATTATTTACATTCTTTTCACTGTTCATTTCAAATACGAAGCTGATCTTGAGATATATATGTAGACACCTAAGCCATTTTTAAAGATGAGGAAGTTGATATTTATGAAGGCCTGCCTTTACATTCTCATTTGCTATGTTATGGTTATAAGTTTCAGACTTGTATTCATAACTTGATAAATTTGTATGTAGACATTATAGTTCTGTATGATAGTCCCTGAGTTGCAGTGTCCTTATGTATCTGACATTATGAAAATGGTGTTTTCTGGATTTACTGCTGGAGGTTCCTGTCCTCACAGTCTCATTCTTAGAAAATCCTTCATATTCAAAAGGAGCTAGTGAGTGGGAGGCATCATATTTGTTCTTTAAAAGATTTTATTTAATTTATTTTTTTTAAGCTTTATTTTTTTAAAATACTTTTTATTTATTTTTGAGAGACAGAGAGCAGGGTAGTGTCAGAGAGAGAGGGAGATACAGAATCCAAAGACCGGCTCCAGGCTCTGAGCTGTCAGCACAGAGCCCGACGCAGGGCTCGAACCCACAAACCGCGAGATCATGACCTGAGCCGAAGTCAGACGCTTAACTGAGCCACCCAGGCACCGCTAAAAGATTTTAAATAGGAAATGAATCCACTACACAATCTGCAAGGAAAGCCATCTCTCTTAGGTAGTTTCCATGTTCTTAAAATTTCCCAAATGTGCAGTTTTCCTTTGGTTGTTTAATTTCTGCTGCAGATGTCCATCTAATTTATTTGTGATTTATCATAGATTTTAATTTATAGTAAAAGTACTGGGCCATATTTGCAAAGAGATAATATATTTTTTTTCATACCTCATTCCTCATTCCAGTTTCAATGAATAATTGGTTTTTCCCATTATAATGAATTTATATCTGGATGTTAATACTTTTGGACAATGACTAGTTTCATAAGGTTCTTCTCCGGCTGTCAAATTGCAAGCCTGACACACCTGGAACCTTCTTGTGCCAACATTGCTCTAAATGTATCTTAATAAAAAATTATTCTAGTTTTAAGACTTTGAGTCCCTCTACGTTAGAAATGGGGTTATAGGACTAGAGGTTTGAAAGGAAACTCACAGCCAAATAAGACATGGAATTTATTTGATTCCTTAGTGTTATCTGTATTATACTTGGAAAATGACTGTCTTACCTTGCTGTGATCTTCAGAGACAAGGAACTTACTCCTGGACCCCCCTGGTCACCATTCAGGCCTAATTTTCACAAATACAACTTGTGAATACTAAAACAAGTTGTTTACCTTAATGCGAATCAGAATATCTCCATGTGTGTAGTAAAAATGTAATGCTTGCCCTGCCTGCTTTAGAAGAAGGCAGTATATATCCTGATGGTTATGAGAAATGAGCTCTATGGTCAGATTAGCCAGTGTTCAAGTCTTAGCTCAGCTACTTAGTATAGTGTGATTCTTGGGTGGTTACTTGACTTTTCTGATCCCTAGTTTCTGCATCTAGACAATGGGAAAAATAATACCAACCTGTGGGATTGTTATGAAGATGAAATTCAGCATTGTATTTTATATGCTTAGTGTAATGCTGGGCATATTGTGAGTTTCCTCAATTGTGGCATATTTATGCACCTATTGGTACATATTTATGAAGATCAAATAAAATATACACAAAAGTAGTTTATAAGTATTAAGGAGCCATTCAGGTGTATTGGCATCATTACCTGCGCATTCTGGTATTTTTTGAGCTTTGAGTTGCACACCTCCTGGGGACCCAAATGAAGGAACCACTGAGCCACGGGAAGGCTGGTGCTTGTCCATCTTCTGGCTCTAGCCCCAGGGAGACCCACCATCTGTTGGGCAGTCACTGCACTCTAGGTCCTATGTTTTGCCTACTATATTATTAACTCTCCCAACAGTCCTCCAAGGTAGGTACGATTTATATTCTACAGATGAAGAAAGCAAGCCTAGCAAATTTAAATAGATTTAATAACTTATTGAAAGTTTATCTTAAACAGCTCTGAAGTTGGGGGATTAAAATCAAAACTCAAATTTATCTGGTTTTGAAGTATGGGTAATTTTACTGTACTATGTGCCTTGGTGGGAATGTAAGGACAGTTGTGACTCAGAGAGATTTATTCCTTGTCCTGGATCTGCCACTTACAAGCTTACTACTTGAACCTAGGTTTCTTCATCTGTAAAATGGCAGTAACAAGACCTACCCCACAGGAATGTTATGAGAAAGCACATAGTAAGTGATAGTAAAAATAGCTGTTCATATTTTATCTTGTCTTCAGGTGCTTTCCATCTCCCGTGGGGGTGCTGGAGATCCACTCCTCCCTCTTCTAGCCAGCAGGGGGCAGTAGAGACCATAAAGGATACGAACAAACCAGTGCTATAGCTTTAATCCCCACCTCCCCACCATGGTGTCCACCTAGCAGTCTAGGAATCTCTGAATCAGATCAGATCCTGGTGGTCTTTGATACTGGCTCTTAGAAGAAAAAAGAAGGAAAAATG